GGCCAGCAGCAGGCGCGGCGCGGCAGGCCCGGCGCCCTCTCCGAGCGCGCGCCGCAGCTCCTGCAGCGAGGTGCCCAGCAGCAGGATGTAGTTACGGGCGAGCAGCAGCGTGGCGATCTTGGAGAGCTTGCGGCCCGGCGCGCCCTGGCAGTGCGCCGCGGAGTAGGGCAGGATGACTTCGCGCAGCGCGTCCATGGCCAGGTTCAGGTCCTGCATGCGCTTCCGCTCGCGGCTGTTGATCTTGCGCCGCAGCTGCTGCTGCTGCTCCTCCTTGGCGTCCGCCCGGGTGCCCGCGTGCGCGCCCGGCCCTGTCCCGGTGCCGCGCGACTCGGCCGGCGCCTCCGGCTTCTCGCGCGCCGACTTGGGGAGGAGGGGGGCCGGCGTGGAGGAGGAGGACGTGGAGGAAGAGGAGGGCGGCTGCCGGTAGCCCACAAGCTCGTACAGGGAGGCCCCGAGCTGCACGTCTCCGGGCCGCTGTGGCCGCAGCATGGTCGCGGGGGCCGCGTTCACGCGCGCCTGGGAAACCGCATAGTACATCTGGGGGCGGCGGGGGCAGCCGAGGGCGCCCTTCGGGAACGCCCCGGGGAAGGCCGGACAGCAGCCCCCGCCCGACCCCTTTAAACCCGGCTTGGGAACCTGCGGGGTCGCGGGCGGCGGGGCGCAGCCAATCGGGGCGCGTGGCCGGGCGCAGGCGCGCGCTCATTGGCCGCCGAGCCCAGGCCCGCGCGGCGGTGCTGGGGCACCGCTCAAGGAGGGTATTGTGAGCGCCTGGGCTGGTGTCTCCGCGGGCGCCTTTTCGGGCGCTGCACGGGTGTTCCTGGAGGGCTGGATGCACTGGTGAGGCTAAAACTCATGCACCTCCCTCCAGCTGCTCCCTGCCTCTCTTTCTAAATAAATGTCATTTTCCCCACCCATTTAAATACATGATTTTCTGCCAGGTTCTGAGAACTGTTTTCGGACTCCACCACAGTAACACTAAACGGTTACTCCCGGCCACTCCCCCTCGCCTCCTCATCCCTCTGTTCAAAAGGTCTTTAGGGACTGAGGGGTCGTTTGAGTTAGATTTTCTCTTCTCCCGAGTGCTCTGTGCACTCTACCAGTTCCAGTAACCCACTCTTGCTGAAGCAAAAACCGCGTAGAAATTGGCCTTTTGTAGAAAACACACACGCACTTGTATCTGTTGAGGGAGGGACTACAGCTTTGTCTTCTGCAAACAGAATAGCATGACTTGGCGTGGCTGTGGAATTCCTCTGTGACCCCAGGGCATACTACTGCAGCTTCTCATCATGGCCTTGCAAAATGCCACAGGGAAGACGGCCTTTTGGTATCTAAACCTCTACAGTTGCGTTGTCCAGTACGGTAGCCACTAGCCACGTGTGGCTATTTAAATTTAGGTAAATTAAAATGAATCGAGTTAAAAATTTCCTTCCCCAGACAGGCTAGCTACCATATTGAACAGAGATGTCTATCGAGCCATGTCTATTATTGCAGAGGAGCCCTGGTAGAGCAGTGGTTAAGCACTCGGCTGCTAACCGAAAGGTCAGCAGTTGGAATCCACCAGCCGCTCCTTGGAAACCCTATGGGGCAGTTCTACTCTGTCCTGTAGGGTTGCTGTGAGTTGGAATTGACTAGACGGCCATGGGTTTATTATCGCAAAGTTCCATTGGACAGCGTGGGTCTAGAGTATAACAGAAAGGACACGAGCTACCTCCGTTTTGGTGCTCTGTGGTGTAAGAGGGGCCTGTCCACCGTGGGCTTTAGGAGGTCGTTGGCCGTGCTTGCTGATTGCAGGACCACTTTGTTCTCCATTTCCTCCACCACGATTTTCCCTGTAGGCTCCAGCTGGTCTGTGGTGTAAGAGGGGCCTGTCCACTGTGGGCTTTAGGAGGTCGTTGGCCGTGCTTGCTGATTGCAGGACCGCTTTGTTCTCCATTTCCTCCACCATGATTTTCCCTGTAGGCTCCAACTGGTCTATGGTGTAAGAGGGGCCTGTCCATGTGGGCTTTAGGAGGTCATTGGCCATGCCTGCTGATTGCAGGACCGCTTAGTTCTCCATTTCCTCCACCATGATTTTCCCTGTAGGCTCCAACTGGTCTGTGGTGTAAGAGGGACCTGTCCACTGTGGGCTTTAGGAGGTCATTGGCCATGCCTGCTGATTGCAGGACGGCTTTGTTCTCCGTTTCCTCCACCAGGATTTTCCCTGTAGGCTCCAACTGGCCTCCCCTTCGGACCTCCAGCTCCACCTGTAACATCCTGCTCACACCTCAGGGTCAGCTCCAACACTACCTTCTTCTCAAAGTCTTGGTGGTTTTGCATCTTCCTCCTCTTTCCCATCAGGAGCTCTGGTGGTGCAGTGGTTAAAGTGCTAGGCTGTTAACCCAAAGGTGGGTGGTACGAATCCACCGGCCTCTCCTTGGGAGGAAGATGTGGCAGTGTGCCTCCATAAAGATTACAGACTTGGAAACCCGTAGGTGGTTCCGCTCTGTTGTATAGCGTCGCCGTGAGTCAGAAACCCCTCGACGGCAGTGGGTTTCTCTTCCTATCACATTTGTCAAACCATCACAGCACTTCTTATCCTAGATTGTGTCAGTCAACACGTCTGCGTTCGGCTGTGATTGTCTTGAAGGCAAGGCCACCTGTTCATTTCTGCACCCCCCCCCCACAAAGGCCCAGCACAGAGCTTGTGTCTGAAACCCCTTTTAGTTCACAGGCTCAGCCTTGAAATGCACCAACTCCCAACAGAACTCTAATCTAAGCGTCCCCGTGTCCTCTAGCTTCTATAGAGGGAGGGAGGCTGGTAGGACACCCTGACCCTCAGGGAGACCTGACCTGACGTGGGAGGACTCACTCAGGGAAAGAGAAGGGACCTCAGAAGGAAGGAGAGGAGTCCCTATCAGACCACACTGGGCACCAAGAGGAGGGACCAAGGAAACGGCCTTGAAATTTTAAGCAGTTAAATTTAATACCTCAGTAATCATTTGACCTTTTGTTAAGGCACCGTGCTTTTCAGAGCATTTTTACAGACACGTTTCCATTCGTGTGAGCCCTGTGAACTAGACCTGACTTGTACATGTGGCTCACAGAGGATTGCTGGGGGTGGTAAAGAGCCTTCTGCCATACCAGGAATCGGAGAAGGAATGGACTGCAGGTCCAGCTGCCTCCATGAACTACTACTTCACTTTCCATAAAACCAGAAGAAATGGATGGTGCCCGGCTACCATTACTCAGCATTTTGATCAAGAACCCAATGACTAGACCCTGATCAAAAGGAGGAAAAGCATGGAACAAAACTTTAAACTCATATGGAAAGCAGACTTACTGGATCCACTGGTACTGGGGGAACCCTCAAATCTATAGCCTGGAAATAATCTTTAAACCTTGAACCAACACCATCCCATGGAGCCATCATTAAACTAAACAGGTTTAGCTCAATTAACAAAGAATGTTGGCCCTGAGCATAGGGCTCTTATAAAGAAGTATCTCTATGAGTTCAAACTGACAACGGTTCCTCTAAAGCACAGATGAGAACCTCTAGGGGCAGAGAGTCCAAATTAATGGGGATGAAGCAATATGCGTAGAGACAGAATAGCGACACATTGTGAAGTATGTAACCAGCGACATTGAATTGTACGTATAGAAATTGTGAATGGTTGTATGTTTGGTTGTGTATATTGCCACGAAAAAGGAAAAAAAGTCTTCTACCACTAACAGCAGAGCTGGGTTACCAGTTGGCTGGCTTCCTGAATTCCCGCCCACTGGACCAGGCTTCCCAGAGGCAGGGGAGCTTTATGACATGGAGGGCCGGGGACTGCGTTAAAGAACGGAGGGTCCTGCCTAGGGGAGCCAGTGTTGACAGCTGATGGGTTCCACCACATCCCTGAAGAGCGGGTTCACCAGGACCCCACATCCATGAACCTGCACAGCCCCCTCTGCCCCGTGGCTGAGGTACCAGACTGGGGCAGGCCCCACCACCTCCCTCAGCCCACATCCTAGGCAGGGCCCTGGAGCCTTACCCTGCCAGCAGGAAGAGGAAGTGAATGAGGAGACAATCTAAAGCTTGGAGCAGAGTTCCCTAATTGGCACCCTCCACGTTCCCCATCCACAGGCAAGGGCACCCAGGAATCAGAGGGATGCTTACCCCCACAAAGCAACTTTTCCCCCAGCCCTTGACCTCACACATCTCCTTCTTCTTGGGGAAGAAGGCCTCTTGGAAGAAATGGAGAGAAGTGCCTCGAGGGTATCCTAGGGGGTAACTAAGCTGGCCTTGGGGTTCAGTTGGCTGTAAGGATGAGTGAAAAGTTGAGTATGGCAAGAGTTCTGAGGTGGAGAAGGGGGCCCACAGAGGCCCTGGTCCTGAGTAGGACCGTGGAGAGAGTCTCAGAGACTGAAGAAAGTCTCACTGTTGGAACTAGAATGAATACCTGGGTGGTGTGGCTTTGGAATACCTGGGTGGTGTGGCTTTGGACGAGTTCCTTTATCTCTCTGAGACTCCATTAAACCGGCTGCCATCACGTTAACCCCAGCTCATGGCAACTCCACGTGCGTCAGAGTAAAAGTGTGTCCCATAGTGGTTTCAGTGACTGCTATTTTGGAATTACATCATGAGGTCTTTCTTCCAAGGCACATCTGGGTGGGCTTGAACCTCCAGCCTTTTGGTTAGCAGCCCAGCTTGTTAAGCATTTGTACCTCCCAGAGAGCCTCAGTTACCTCATCAATAAAATGGGGGGAAATATATTTTCTCTCCCAAGGTAGTCGTATTTGTTACCTTGGGCTGCTGTAACAAAGCACCACAAACTTGGGGGCTGGTGGTGTTTCATACAACAGAAATGTATTCTCTCACAGCTCTGGAGGCTAGAAGTCTGAAATCAAGACGTCGGCAGGGCTGTGCTCTCGCGGAAGGCTCTAGGGGAGAATCTGTTCCATGCCTTTCTGGTAGCTTCTGGGGTTGCCGGCAATCCTTGGCATGCCTTGACTTGTAGACGCATCACTCCACTGTCTGCCTCCATCATCAGGTGGCCTTCTCCCTGTGTGTCTGTCTCTGTGTCTCTTCTCTTCTTATAAAGGACACCAGTCATACGGGATTAAGGACCCACCCTGCTCCGGTAGGAGCCTTGGTGGCACAGTGGTTAGGAGCTGGGCTACAACCTGAAAGGTCAGGAGTTTGAATCCACCAGCTGCTCCTTGGCAACCCTATGGGGCGGTTCTACTCTGTCCTGTAGGGTCGCTATGAGTCGGAATCGACTCGATGGCAGCGGGTTTGGTGTTTCGGTCTGCTCCAGTATGACGTCACCTTAATTCATCACACCTGCAACAACTCTCTTTTAAAATAAGGGCTCAATCTGAGGTTCTGGGAAGAACATGAATTTGAGGGGACACTATACAACACAGAGGAGCCTGGGTGGCGCAAAAGGTTAAGTGCTTGGCTGCCAGTCAGAAAGCCTGGTGGTCAGAACCCACCCAGCAGAGCCTTGGGAGACAGACTTGGCCATCTGCTTCGGAAAGGTCACAGCCTTGAAAACCGGGTGGAGCAGCTCCACCCTGCACACATGGGGTCGCCATCAGT